CGGATCATTTGCAGCAGTTGTAGTCGGGGGGGGGGGGGGAGGCTTTAGACAATGGGAGGTGTCGCGAAGAGTTCACATTTGGGTCTAAACTTGAGAAGAGCGTTGAGTGAGGTCAAAGTCAAAACTCGCCGGCGAAGGTGCGACCTTTTGGGACGTTAAATGTCTCCTAGCGCGGCCATAGTTGTCCGGGACAGACAATTATGAAGCAAAGTCAAACCTACTAGGGCCATCTGTTTCGTCGTTTTTGGAGAGTCTACGTCCTTACGGTCTTTTCGTTCTTAGTATTATAAAAATTTAGTTGTATACAATTTAGCAATATGTCGATTTGAAATACCGCTCGAGTATATAATAACCACATAAGTCACTTAACCATTAAACCGGACATTTGTATCCGACGTATGAGCTAACCAAAATAATAATCACTCGAAGTATGAAGGTTCCATCCGGCTAACCTTGACCATCGATTGACTCCATGACTCATGAAGCAGAGAAAATAGCCTTAAGCTCCCGGAGCTTATTTCTATTAGATTGATGCAGTAAATTTAAATAACTATAAGTAACATTAATCATGTATGACCGGCTGCGAGCGACGCGAATGGCGGCGCGATGTGCAAAGCGATCATTCGCGCGACTTTGTGGTTTCGCGTAGGTAATGTTTCATTTGTCTTATCGATAGCAACTTGTAATGGTATTGAGAAACGGAAGTATCTTTTTACTTTTCAAGTAATATCAAATAGAATCAAAACTCGGTGACGCGAGTAGTACACTTCTTAATGAAACACTTAACTGTTTCAAACGCGAAATATATTAGTTTAGTTATAATTTATTTTAAATTCAGCCTGACGGTTTCCCGTTGCGAATACATCCTAAACGTTGGACTGTGGTAAAGATAAGTTAATATATCTCGCGTTTTAAACCGTTAAAAATGTTTTATTTTAATCCAAATTTATACCTATTTCAGTGGGCGTGTTCCAAAAATGGTACTAGTTCCATTTCATTTCAATTTGGTTTTATTTATTTCCAGTAATGACTTAATTTATCGTTTATTCGAGTCATTTAGTTAAAAGACCCTACTCTAAAAGTCCGGTAAGTTAACTAGAACAGCAATTGAACTGATTTCGCCATAGCGCTGCATAGCGAGATACAAGTTTTACTTTTAGCATTGGTCACATAACCCACAAACCTGACCTCATCCCTTATACTAGAATTCCTTAAGAAACCTTCGAGGCTTTCACGGTGCGCGACCGGTTCGTGAAGGAACTAGGAACATGCGTTTTTGTCCACATTGCACACATGCCTCTGTGCGTAGAGAAAGCATTGGACAAAAGTGGCTTCTCTTGTGAGGAGATATTTAATTGTTGTGTATAAAAAATGCGCATTAAGATTTTACTTTTTAAAAATAAATTAACAGTTTTAAACGCGATTCATATTAAGTTCATTTGTTTATAAATGAGCAGTTACAGCAGCTGGTCACATATTTTTTCTAATTTAGGAATTATTTAAGTTTTTAAGCAGTGTTTGCGTTTTTACCGCTGAAGAGTACGCTGTACGAAAAAAATTGGATAATATGAGTGTACTGAGTATTTTATATTAAAAAAGAAAAGGAAATAATTATAAATCCATTGTGTCGAGTGTGACATTTGGGATTGATGAATTGTGTATATATGAGATGATTCTTTTTCTTTTATGATTATATTATACTTTGTGTAGATAGTAGTACATTAAATAGAGCATAAATTTTTAATTGTCTGTAGAAATATTTTCAAATAGTTTAATATTAATATATGGTTTTAAATTAAAGTGTTTTATTCAAATTAAACTTTGTTCTAAAATATAGTTTTTTTTTAAATCATTGTGCCAAAATTCCATCTCTATTCGTTTAGTACTTTACTGTTTATTTAGACGTACGTTTTTTTTACCTTATACGTAGGTTAGAGGTATAAGATACATTTCACGGTCAGTGGGTGATAGATTCCGTTGACGTAACATATGTATGGAGAAATGGCATCACAGAGTACTCAATTACAGACGCTATCGGATGCATCTGGTAACTCAGTACTCTGTGACGCGCTAATGAGGCTGTAACGTCCATTTCAATTTACACTAGGGTAATTCAAATGGAAATAGACGGGTCGTGGATTCTACGCTATAGATAACAGCTTCGATCGCTAAAAAGCATTACAAACGTCAAGTTAAATAAGAATGAGATAACAAGGACAAGCATTTAAGGGGGCATAATTTAAAACTAAATTTAGCTCAATGCAACGGAAATGCTCTGATAAATTTCCAAATGAAGTAGTATGCGACTGGAACCAACTCCCCGAGGAAATTGTCACGGCTCTTCACTTAACACAATCAAAATCTTTTTAGACTCAATTCTCTGAGGTAATTATAATTTTCACGCATCAGCTTAGGCTGCTAGTGAAATAAATAATAATAAACAATTTACAATAAGGTTAGGAATATAATTTAAGGTTTTAAATTATGTAATATATACATATATGGTCTTTTGCCAAATTACAAAAAATACACTATAAGTATATATTATCTGTAAAACATTAAAATTATTCACCATATTGATTGTAGAAGAATAACAATGTCAATTTAAAAATCAAAAATGAACTGAAAAGAAATTTCGACTTGGGCTGGACTTGAACCGGCATCGTCAGTGGTCAGCAGAGCAACAGCACGGAACGCTGACGATGCCCGTTTAATTCCTTCATGTGGCATAACATGTAAAAAATTATAAAGTTATCAAACAATGTCAAGTTAAAAATTAATAAGACGTTTTTACCTACTAAATTCGGACTCCCGGGCACAGGTCTCATGGAAGCAGGGGTTCTTGAACATAGAACTACCATGCTGCTTCCAGTATGAGTTGGTGGATTTTAGCTACGGTTACTAAATTACTGATAAAAAGCGGACACTGTCCACGGGTTGAAACTTATTGCCAAACTTTGATAGTTGTAGAGTTTTTTTAAATATAGAACAGACGATTAGGTAAAAATAAAGACGCGGCAGTTGAACAGCAAGTAGCAGTTAGCGATAATATCTACGTGATATGATTCCGTTCTTCGCAAGCAGCAACCCACTTTCCGATTATATAAAAAACTGTTTACTTGCGCTGTAATTGTTAACAATTGTTTGATTGAGGCAAAAGTGAAACACGCCCACGGTACGAGAAATCATCACGAAATGAAAAAGAAAGTAGTGTTGCCATATCGGGCGGGCCTCACCTTGCATTATCGGCTTATGAACTTTCCTCAATTATGTAAAATAATCTTTCTTTTTTAGGGTTCCGTAGCGAATGTAGAGGAACCCTACCCAATACTGTCACCAGACTGAAACTAAACCACCTAGACAGCTAAATAGTTAGAATAAAAATTAATATCAAGTAAACTATAAAATAAATAATATTCCTCGCAAATATAACAAACAGGGTATTTTCGCTCCATATTAATAATCGATCAAAATCATTAAAAATAGGTTTTAACGGTTTTAAACGCTTTAGGGAACTGATCTAAGATTTATTTTAACTATGCTCAGTAGTTTCGGATGCTTTGCATCAGTTACAGTTAAAATAAATTGTAAATAAGTTAACTCAACATTTTGCGTTTAAAACTGTTACTCGCATCAACTATAGAAAAGATTTAGTAGGTTACGATATAAAATTTATGTACAGAGACCTTGGTACGATAACTTTCGCCAAAGTCCGTTTGTTAATTATTTTGCGGAACCCTATTTTACAGGGCTGAAGGGTAAATATACCTGTATTCTTAAAACATCTGTTACCTGTCAGGCAGCCCTATATTTGACTCTTATTTTTTAAACTAAGTTATATATTACGTGTTTGTATTTTCAATAATATCTATAGCAGTTGCCTCTGTATTGATAACATAGGACTAAGTAAAAAACGTACTTTACCTATTTGCTTACGTGTATAAACATTACCAATTATGAAATATTCTGTGGTGTCGTATTAAGTAGCACACAAATTAAACAATTGTTAGCTATTAATAATTGATGTATTAATACCCAACAATTGTTAATAATATTATGTTAGTAACTAATAATTTTAATAAAGTTGATAAAATTTGACAAGTTTAACATTTTTCACATGTTATTGCACATGAAGGCATTATATAATTTAAAAATCGAAAATAAATTGAAAAAATTTTCGACTCGGTCAGGACTTGAACCGGCTTCGTCAGCATTCCGTGCTGTTACTCTACCAATTGAGCTACCGAGTCCTACACCTGATCGTCGGATTTTTTCAACTTATTGATACATGCACCTCCCGCGCAATGTAATTTCAACCTTAACACTCGCGTATTAAGTTGATAAATTGTAAGTACGCTAGCTACGTAGAAACAAAATGCGTTATATACTTAAACATAATTATAATAATGAATTAATAAATACTTGACTTTTTTTCATGAGGTTGTTTGTGTAAATACGTTGCAGTTTTCATTAAACAATATTTTATCGTTAATTATGAACTAAATCAAATCGGTACTCAAACAAAAATCTGCTAATAAACACAAAATAAATATGTAGTAACATATTTTAAGAGATATATTCGACTCCCTAACTTCTCGTCTATATTTTATATGTTAACGTCGATAACAAGCAAAACCAGTAGCAAACAATAGCCATGCGATATGCAACGAAAGCGATTCCGCTTTCGATAACATTTCATGCCCCGTATACACGACCTCCATATCGAACGTGGACTTTGTACATGTAAACAATAATAACCTTTCGTATTTACTAAACAAAACTCAATCGAACAACAGAATTTAATAGTGCAACACATGTGCCAAAGCGTAATTAATTTAAAAACGTGATTGTTCCGTACTTGACATTTCACCCAAATCTGTGTGAGTCTATTAAAATGTCTCTAGATAATAATCACGCTGACATTTAATTACAGAAAAATACGTAACATTTTTAAACTGTGATACGTAACACAAAATTAATTCAAATTTTCCTCCTTCCAGATGGATAGCAGTTCAGAGGCGATGGAATTGCGGCGGGAGCTGGACGCGGTGAAGAGCGCTCTTCAGCAGCAGTCAGAGTCCGTCCTTAAACAAAGACATCAGCTAGTTGAAGCGAGTCAGGCACTCGCTGCACGTGAGAAACAAGCAGTCCAAGAGAGGAGGCTACGACAAGACCAGCTAGCTCTAGTTCTGCGCTCCCTCGTATTACTGGAATCCCGTCTCACGAGAGAACAGCAGCAAATCCAAGTATCCCTCAAGCAAAAAGAAAAAATTATCAAATCACAGCAAGAGGAAATTAGCAAGCTTAAAGCTCGCAAATCCTACTGCAATAATTGCCAACAGCTTCTCGGGTTCACAAGCGAACAAACAAACATAGAGACGGATCCCGAATTTCAAAGCTTGGAGAGCACAGATTCGAGATTCCCGAATGCTTTCGTCAGGAGCAACAGCTACCGGGAACGAAAATCACCACCGGTTTTCCAAAAAAACACTAGGCTAAGTAAGAGTTTTCAACTGCCGAAGAACGACGTTGTCTATTGCAATACTAGTTCGAGTGAAGAGGGCAACACTGTGAGCGGCGGGAGCAAAGGAACCTTCATTAAAAATAAGCAAGCCTTTGTGAGAAGAGACGTTTTTCGCAGGTCGAGAAAATACTCTGGTAGAAAGAGTAGTCTGAAAAATCAGGAACCACAAAAAAGTTACAATCAAACAAATAATAGTAGTAGTGCAGACGATTGCTTCGGCATGAGTTATCAAGTTAATCATGAAGACGACGTGACAGCTAATCAAATAGCAAATGATATTAGAAAGGCGTCACTTAAAATTGACCAACTTATTGGGGAGGCAGCTAAAAAGGAACAAGACAGTACACTTAGTGCCTCAGAAAAAAGCTATTCCACAAAAATAGAAAGACTACACGGAATCAAGAGACAGGCATCTGATGAGATTAAGGCGAATAGACAATTATTTTTAAACAAAGTTCTTAATGAAGAAACTGAAAAGCCTTGGTATTGTAATGTCAGCGATCACGAACAAGATATGGACTGCGTGGATCCTAGAAATACTATTCCCAATAATAAATCAGTGGAGGAAATCTTAATTCAGGGCCTGAATAGCGGAATAATAAACGCAGAAATAATTTCAGCCAAAAACGAAGTTCTCTGCAATAAATTGAAAAGTGACAATTTTCAGTCGAAGTTCGATTGCCAAAATAACAATATGAATTCAATTGGTAATAAAGATGTGCACGAAATCAATGAAAATTGGTATGCCAGCACTAGTGACGCAGACGACACACCTCCACATGAAATATACAAGAACAATCCAGTATTGGAATGTGTTAATCAGATTCTTTTACAGAATTCATTGGACGATAGCAGTAATGACAATTCTAAATCAAGTGAAACTCCATCACCTAGCCCTAAATCTACTACTAAGCGTGTTCAGTTCTCTACATTAAATAGCATATCTTATGACGATAAAATAAGACCCATGGGCAATAATACTCTTCCTAGATCAGACAAGCGAGCGAACAAAATCGTCAAGTTCAGTCTGGAAACCGCGTCTGAACACAGCTATGAAGTGCCCAATACAGCTCAAGGCTTCCAATATGAGATACAGAGCATTTACAGCAATGAGTATGAGCCAATCATAACTAAATCGACAGAACAAAAACCATTGCCGCCAGTTGAACCGATCAGTGATAAGAGAAGCACGGTTCCCAAAATACGCGGGTCCATAGTGAAAAACATCGCCGCTAATATTGAGAGCCGAAACAATTTTGCCTCGGACAATCTTGGTTCAATGAAAATATTCAACAAGAGGAAAGTGCCGCGAACTCCACCCGCTCTGCCGCCTAAGCCGAAAAACTTATCGGCGAAATGGAAAGAAAGTACTGTCAGAGCCCTGACAGAATCTTTAGACTCTGAAGCCGTTGCGGCTAATCAACGGGTTGCAGATGTTAAGAGAAACATTGACGTGACATCTAAGAGCGTTGAACCGGACTACTGCTCCATTTCAGAGATAAATGTTCCAGTAGTCAATAGCGGGAAACGGGAAATGCTCCTCACGCAGCCGACGGTTGAGATCCACAACGAACAATATCCTGTACACCCGAATCAAAGAAGTGTCGCTAAGGTCGTGTCTCTCCCGAGAATTCAGGCCAAAATCAGCGACAAAGACATACCCAAGCTGCCACAGGTCACTGAAATCATCATACCCGATGAAGATGAAAAGCCTCAAGAGGATGCAATACACACTAACTACCTATCCTTCGTACACCCTCTGCAACCTAAGATAGATCCAAGGGGATCTATTCAAATGGGGAATACCGTATCTTCAATTCTATCAGAGATCAATAGAGGCGTGAAAACAAGCGGTAAACAGATAAATTTAACAGAATTGGATAACCAATTCAACCACGCATCAGAGCGGATACAGGTGACCAACCCAGAACAGCACAAGGCTGAATATTTTGATGAAATAGACAAGTTTGATCTGTCGCAGAATTTTGAGGAGTTCAAAATAGACGATGATCTCGGCAGCATTGTTGCCGAGGAATACCGCATAAGTTCTGGCAGCGACGAATCTATATCAGATGTAACTGAACATCACATTACCAGTGTAGTTGAAAAAATTGACAACGACAATAATAATGAAAAGGAAAAAAATACATTTCTTGAAAACACAGATGGCGTTGTAGCAAAAAACGCTAAGCTCTCCAATAAGCCTGATCTCCTATCGAATATAGAAAACGTTGAGACTGAATCAGTAAGAAACTCGGATATCGAGTCGAGTAATTCATCCGGTAGCAACAGCGGTTCATATAACACTGTCAAGTGCGAGCCGAGATTGATTTTGACAACCGAAGCTGTTAAAAGTAAGGGCGCTTTCGATTTCTTCCTAGAGACCTCCGGGCTAAGTTCCAAGTCTATATTTTCACCTTCCAGAGCTTATATAGGCATGCGTCCTCCCAGTGCTAACCACAAGAACGTACTTAAACCCAAAGACGTGAAAATGCGCGTCAGAAATCCCATAACAACGAACAAAATCAACGAAAAACCTATGACGACTGCTATTAAATATTTTGAACCTTACGTGTAAAGAATTATTTTATTTATTTATTGTTAACAATGAACTTGCCTGCATAATATTAATGTATATTTATAATGATGTAAATAGTTATTTTAAAATATACCCTTTATTATATGTAACTGGTGTTTTATTATACAGAAATATATTACATTTATCAACATACAGTTATAACAACACTAAGTATTAAATACTTAGTTACATAACAATTTAGACCACAGAGTAATTAAGACTAGTAATAACACTTAGAACTAGGTAAATAGCTGTTAAAACTTCAATAAATAAGCTTTTAACTTTGATATGAATTTCTTGGAACGCGCCTGTCTCTTAACGAACGAGTTCTTCTTATTTTCAAAGACGTATTTGGAGGAGTCTAAAGTTTCTGTAGAACTAAAAACAACATGATTGCTCAAGCTTGATGTATCAAATTCCGAAGATCCCAAATCACTGGTTGAAGGCATTCTTGACATAGATATGTCGCTAAAGGAGTCGTATTTCTTAATCTTGCAATCTCTTCTTCGTATCGTCTTGAGAAATTCCTCTGATGAAAACGTTGTGCTAGGTAGATCTAGTACAGCAGGTAGGCATGTTGAATAATCCGTTGACGTATCTAAATCAACTGTTTGACCCCATTTGCGGTCTAACTCACGAAATGCAGCTGATAAATGTAAGTGGAGATCCATATTGCAAAACTTTATATGTTTTTTGATTAAAAATTAGTTGTTTAAACTCCTATAGCTGAATTTAAAATGATGCTTTAACTTTGGATACTATCATATTTATAGTAGATTAATTAAGGAAATTATGGTAATTTGAGGGTTAATTAATTGATTAACACTACTGTTTCTCCTAATTTGTAGTAATTAGAAACAAATGTTGAGCATAAACTAATTATTGTGCAATCTAATTAAGGTATAGGGTCCAATATAGAAAAAGTAGCTATAATGTATGAAATTATAAATTGTCATTAAAATAATATTATTTATTATAGTGACATCTAGGTAAATTTTACAGAATTTGAGAGTATGCCTCTGTTAAGTATTCATAGTCAAAGACTAGATGGCGCAACAAACCGGCTCAAAAATACATAAGATTGCAAAAAAAAATATTTTGAAAAAAGATGACTCAATGCATTTCTAATTTATTTTATTTTATTAAATATTCATTTTTGATCTCTTCTTTTTCTTGTTGCCTTTGTCTTTTTTTGAATCTTGTTTCAAATCTTTCTTCTGTACCTGTAAGACATTATATTTATGGTCATAAACATATTTCATTTATATGAAGTTTGTAGCAATATTGTAAACTCCGTGTTGTTGTTTAGCTTACCTTTCCATAATTACTTAAGAAATGTCCAACATCATTTTTGGTCCCTTTCTTCTTTTTGCTAACAGTCTGTAAAATAGTCTTAGATTTCATCAACTGTTTTTCCTGTTGATCTTTTACTTTTTCCTCTTTCCGTTTAGCCATAAGTTCTTTGTAATTAACATATGGACGTTTTGGTGGTTTTGCACCTGAAAGTTAAAAATTATATAATTATTTTAGAAGAAATTAAGTGATATTGTTAACAGTTGTTTAGCAAATAAAACGTTTTAATTTGCATCTTTATTTTGCTACAATGCAATGTTTCTCATGCTTTAGCAACTATGGTCAAATGTATCTTGTATCTGCATTTTAAGTGTCTAAATATACATTATTTAACATTTACCAGTATTAAATAATAAATACAATTGAATAATCATGTTAAATTTCTAACATTAACTAATAAATTAGTGAACTGCTTTGTCATATTATTTGTAAGTTAAAGGTAATATGTACATTGAATAAAGATTAACATAGGACAACTAATAGCTAACTTGTTGGCTTTGTTAAACAATATTAATATATTTACACTAATAGATACAGAATACATATTTAAGTGTTAAGAATGTATAATATTGTTAGTACCATTAATATCAAGTAAGTAATTAGGTACCTAAGCTTACGGCCAATGCAATTTTGGCCTCCTCCTTTTTAGTGTGGTCAAATCCTGACATACCAAACCTCACTATTTCATGCCTAATTCTCTTTAGATCTGCATCTTTCTTTTGTTCTGACACATTCCCTGCTTCAACTTTGTCCTGGTTTTCTAAAATCGCTTTCTTTTTCGGCTTATGTGCCTCAAACTTGACGACTTGAAAGTTTTCTTCAGCGTTTTTCAATGCTAGGGCAGCTTTCGTTAGTACCAATGACATATTTTGACGTAATTGTTTTAATATCGTCTCATTAAATACTAATCAATCGAAAATTGTAACATGAATGGTAAATATAAGTTGTTTGTAAATTTTAATTGTTTCCAAAATTCGTAACACGTGTTTTTGACATTTTCAAAGTTGACAAATGACAGATCCGACTGTCATATTTCAGTTTGCCCCTTATTTAGAATACATATTATATATTGGGCAATATAGATAAAAAAAACTGTATAATAATGAAAATAATGTCTGATTTTATATTAAAGGACATGCAATTATTTTTTTAAATTATACGTCTTATTACTACAAAGGAGTATATTTGTCTGATATTTCACAGACTGAAGACAGGCTACAAATTGACATATGACGTTATATTTTCGAGTTTGAAACTTGTGGGTCTTGCTTGCTAATTTTAGTCTAACTCTAGTTTATTTTCGTTTTTCCTGCTTAAATGCTATTACGTATTCTCTAAAAATAATATCAGAGATATCGTTTATCTAATATTAGAAGCTAAGAAGGGCAGGTGGAGAAAAATATACTCTGCTCATCGTATCTGTGATACAGTAACATTCCGGCTCACACTGCCAATATTTTAAATTGTTAGTTAACACCTTTTAACTTTAACATCTATCTAAAAAAATAATGAAGAATACCTTTAGACATTTTGATACGCCGGTTAAGGCGGGGGATTTACTTCTAATGGAAGAACCATTTGCTTACACATTGTCATCGAAGGAAAGTGGAAAACGATGTGATCATTGCTTTCAAAAGTAAGTTAAATAAAAGTACACAGAATAGAAAGTCTAAAAAATCTAGTCTAACATTTAGCTCAGAATAAAGTTTTGATAAAATTTAATTAAGGCCAGCTCATTTTATTATAAGGCCTATTATATAGTAAAAGAATTGATTAACTAAACAGTAAATAACTTTTTGAATATAAATAATTAAATTAATGTACTAACAAAATCCTTCCTTAGTATCTCTTCATTAATAGATGCTAAAACTATTATCTTATTTTTCAGTTGTAGGGTGTTGAAATGTTCCGGTTGTCAATTTGTTTATTACTGTGGAAAATCATGTCAAAGAGAAGCTTGGAGTGAACATAAGGTAAATAAAAAAATGGTCAAACAGTAGTGAGGCTGCGTAAAAGGGGCCTATATAATTTATCTATCCAACAGTTTTTATATAATGTATTTTTAACATTGACCAGACATTGTGTTAAAAAAAATACCGTGGTCTTTAAATGAAAAAATAAGTTGTCAACCTGAGTTTATTACATTAGAGTATTAAAAAATTAAACTGTTTTATACATCTATGTTGCATACCAGATTTAATCTTTACCAGTAAAGAGAAGTTTGAGGTATTACAAAATACATAATAAAATAGAATAACTGTAATATTACATAAACTGCTTATGATCTATTTCTGTGTGGATAATTTTGTAAAATGTATTGGCGTTCCGCCATGATTATGGATTTGAATAGGCATATAGATTTGCAATTATGGGTTAACACCCTTCCTGTTTATAATGGATTTTAGTCAAGTTTTTACTTATTTTAGATACGAAAACTAACATTAGAGTAACAATACTTGGCCCAGGTGAGTATCTGTCCAGCTTCTCAAACTCCCACCCACAATAACTTGGGCCAATCAGAGACTGGTTCTAGGGACACTCTTGGTCTACCCAATCCATCCAATAATTACAAGTGGCTCAGACCGATACATGTAATATTCAATCTAAAAAGTAATAATAATGTATGCGTGTTTCTGTTTTAATGGCATTTTGTTCTACTAAGTATGAACTTTTTTTTATGAATTTTTAGTGGGAATGCGCCAACTTCAAGAGGGTGGCACCAAAAGTAGTACCCGACGGAGCGAGGATGTTAGCTAAAATAATTAATCGGTTACGTCGAGGTGATGGAAATTCGTATAAAGCGTTTTACACGCCCACTTCTTTCAGAATGTGGAAGGACCTCATGTCACGTAAGTGGTTTCAATGTGTTTAGTGGACAACAATGACGATCAGGAAAACTTTTAAAAATCTAAAGAAAATAATATATTATTTTATCAGTTGAGCCTTGATGGCTCTGATAAAACTGTATAAAAAGCATGTTTTAACTGCTTAAAACGTTAAATACATTATTTGGAGTCCTAAATAAGAAGTTTTATTATTAACAGCGGTTTCATCTACCATTTAATTTGCAACAAAAGTTAAGTAAATTTTGATTACTATCTATTTTGACCAATACCAAGAAACTATTCTAATTGATTTGACAATTTCACAGTAATACATGTTGCACCTAATTGCAGACTACTCAGACTTAAAAAAGGACAAAAAACGTATGGATCACTTCACAACATTGGGCGTGGTTTTATATGAGTTTTTGAAAGACATATCACTACCAAACACAGTGGACCTCATTGGATTGTATGGCAGAGTAAGTTTTTAAGATTTTAAAATCCTTGTATTTCCAGTTATATCAGTGGAAGATTAACACATGTGTGGGATGTGAATTAATAATGAAATAACTAAAAAAAAACTTAACTTGTTTCTGGTAAAAGAACAGTGTTTAGCAGGTTAGAGGGTAGTTAGACAAAAACACAATATGTTTAATAAAATAATAAATTATATTTTATACTTATATTGACTAGTAATGGTTATTATAAAAAGTAATATTAAATAATTTGACTATACATCACATACTTCATTCATTTCAGATGGTTATCAACAGCTTCACAATCTTAGATATAGATATGAATTCTATAGGCACCGGCATTTATATCGCCGCTTCGATCATAGATCACAGTTGTAATCCTAATGCTGTCGCAACTTTCGACGGAAAAACCATTAATATTAGAGCAATCAGGGATATGCCTAAATTGGACTGGAAACAGGTAAATAGATATAAATAGAGGAATACCTTTGAATAGCTACATAACTTTATATATATATTCATACAAATATATGTATTTCAATCCATTTTGGCTATAAAACAAATTTTTAGATTTTCAGTTTTGCTTTATTATATTTTCTATAAATAAATAATTTCTCTAATCTGGTAAAAATCTCTAAATAACTTTTCTATTTAATCTTAATATTCCTGGTCTTAAAGTCCTTCATTTTATTTAAGAATACAATTTAATGAAAATAACACCTGGTACGTACATACATCTTTCTTAACAAAATCATTGCGTATATGTTGTGTTCAAAACAATATTCGCGTGAAAGATGTAACAACATTAAAGCCTGTAAGTTTTTTGCTAAAACAAAAGCTAATAAACATAATATGACTCTATACTCTGGTACTTTATAAAATATAACGCTTTGCTATTACAAATCTATCTAATACACTTCAAAATAATTTTCAGATACGCATATCGTATATAGACCTAATGAAAACGCCATTCGAACGACAGATGGAGCTTTTAGAGAACTATTACTTCGTGTGCGATTGTGACAGGTGCATGGGTAAATGCTTTCGATGTTGCATTATAAACTAAACCTTATTTACTTACAGTTAGAAATCAATATAGCTTGATACAAGATTGGTAGTTGATGAGAAAGAGCAGATATATTTGTCTCTTTTCCTCTAAGACAAAGTTATTATTAATGTATAACAAAGTAACACGAAACGTCCAACTTATGGTTAATTCTTCACTTAATTAATTACTTTGAGTTACTTTAAATGGCGTCTTTTATAATTTCAGATAAGGATCAGCTAAAGTACCTCCATGCCGCCAAGTGTTTAAATATGAAATGCGACAATCCTGTTAATATAAAATGGAAAGACGACTGTGTGCTAGTTAAAGAAGTAGAAAAAAGTAAACTGTCAAATGTCAAAAGTACTAGCAATGAAAAAGACAGTACGAGTAATGGAGATATGGAAGATAAAAATCCGAATAAAAAGGATGTACATAGCCCAAATGTAGGTAATACTACAGTTTCTAACGTTGATAGTAGCAAAAATTCAGATAGTTTACCAGCAACAAATAACGAAAATGCAGATGTTGGTACATCCACAAACAACGAGAATGTTTGTACAGAAGAAGACACTAAAACAGCCACAGACAATACAGATAATGTAAACGAAGATAATCATAAAAATGGCGACATCCAAGAAACAAATAAAGAAGTTAATGGCATTTGTTCTGAATGCGGTACAAAGTACACTGAACAGGATATTGATACATTCTTAGATGCCATGGACTTATCGGATGCTCATTTGCAAAATATGAAGACAACTACGGTAGCTTGTATCCTTTTCTTATCGAATTGTCAAAATGGTTTAAAAAGTCATATTTCTTGTGTCACTGCTTAATTTTTATCCCTGTTGCTTGCATTAGCAATGCGTACAGCGCGTGACGTTCTAGACTTTGCGTAGACCGGACTCGGATCTTTGATCAAAATTAGGTTTTTTAATAATATGATTAATCAGGGTTCATTTGATGGTACGGGAAATACCCCAGCTATATAACATCTAAACAAGATGCGCCTGTCGACCTATTTTGGCGTTGGATATTAGGAAATCCAAGCTGAAACCAAAACGTGATTTAACTTGACTGCTTTTTCATCTGTGGTGGTTCGTGACCCGGAATTTCCGATATATCTACCATCCATTTAATGTCCAGATTTCCAGACGAAATCACTTACGGGGACCCACTTAGACAAACAGGATTTCTTGTTAAATTGAAGGCATTTCTTTAACTCTATACCAGATGTGGAAGTATGTAAATATTGCTTAGAAAAACAGCAGGGCGTGTTGCATCCATTAAATGTATTCCACGCACAGATGTTAGAGCAGGCATTTGACGCGTATATACAGGTGCGTTTGTGGCAACAAGCTTGCGTCTACGCAGAACAATTGTTACCTTGCTTTAGGTAAGTCTTGCACTATTTGATTAAAAATGACGGTAGATTGAAAAATTCTAATATGCCTAAAATTGGGCCTTTGCTAATATATGATATATGTAATGATAGTTATGTCCTCCTGACATAAAGTCAGAAAATTATAACCGCATAGGGTTATTTTTACTAAACGTAATATTATATATGTGTATATGTAGACAAAGGTCTATTGTATATAAAATCTTGGAAATAAAAAAGGTCATAATTAAGTACAAAAATTGTTAAATTTATTTAGTATAATTTATTTATTCTCAATATTCATTACCACCTTTTGCTTATTCTTCTTTCTCTTTCTGACTTTACCATCTTTAACTTGATTCGGTTTTAAATCACTACTTCTCTTCTTTTTCTTCTTACATGATAGAGGATTTGGATTGTGTGGTTTCTTAATAATTACTTTCTTCTTGGGCTCCTCTTGGACTTGTTCAACACCAAGTGCCTTCTTTATATTCGTAAGTGTTTCATTCTGTGCTGGACTTATAAATACATGAGGGTCAGCTGTTAAAACTTGTCCTGCTTTACTGTAACTAGCGGTTGAAGGCTTTTGCAAAGTCGGCGATTTATTGTGTAAGTATAAAAGCGGTACGCCGGCTATTTTCTTCAATTTCTCTTGTAAATCCCTATCTTGTGTTGCCAGGATGTAGTGTTTGTCATTTGTTTTCCCTATCATAGATGAGATACATTTAGATCCACTGATTGGTACCTTATGGTCGCATTCGTGTATTCCGAATTGTTTCAAAATTGTGAGAGCTCCTTGTGTTTTCTTTGCTATTTTCTCGGTTTCAATTATTATGCACCTTGTAGTCAATAGCTTAAGTTTGCCGTTTAGGTATTTTGGTATTTGGTCACGTATGTTGATGTGTTCTGTGAAAGCTGCAAAGCAGAAGGTCCCATCTATTAACACTTGATACGGTTGGTGGAAGCCGTAATTGTTGTAATAGAATTTCAGATACTTCTGCGCTTTTTTGTAACGCGCTATCTTCATTTTGTACTGATTTAAATAAGACTAAGTCTTTATTTTGCTATACCTGAAACCAAAAGATGCTTATATTCGTAAGTGTAACTCTCCCAGAATATTCTATTATTTGTTAAAACACAATATTATTTTTTCTATTCATAAATCAACATTAAAAACATAAAATAAAAATACAATTTAAACACTTTAAAGCTAAGATTATCAACATATGTACTAAATGACAATGTTTTTTTACAGATTTTACTATGGCCCATATCATCCACTACTGGGAATACTGCATTTAAAATTTGGTAAAATACTGCTGTACAAAATGGATTTGCCCCAAGCTGTTGAGCAGTTAAAGAGTGCTGAAATGATTTTGAAAATCACACACGGCGAGAAACATCCCTTGTATAGAGAAAAATTGTTACCATTGCTTCACCAAGCAATTATGGAGTCAAACTAAATATAAATAATATAGGTATATATTGTTTATTTTTCATTCATGTGAACTATGAAAAAAACTATGAACTTTGTTCTCCTTACTTTGTATTATAAGAAATTTGATTTCTCTTATTAGTAATAAGAAAATATACTGTAGTTAGACTGCATCAAGTTTAAAATTGTTTTTCTACGGCTGTGTACAATAAAGATCTGAAAACTATACCATTGTTCTTTTAGCACCTTTTTTGTTGAAACTTTAACATGAAACTATGCGAGAAATATGGATGGCAAAGGAATTTGAAAACAGTTAGTTACATATAGCTAGCTAGGTGTAGTAACTACAATGTATGTATTCTTATTTTGCAAGCAAATTCAAAAATAAGAGAGAAGGCATCATCCAATAATTTATTTGTCAGTAAGTTTGTAAAAGTACATAATGTAGCAAGTTGTTAGTCTTCATTGTTCGGTCTGTTTGTCTATCCTATTCAAAACGTGTTCGCTTACTAGGGACTTCGTCTTCTGCCTCGACTACCTTAATTCTTACACCACAGATCTCGGCTCCATGCAATGTCTTCATCGCATTATCTGCGGATTCTACAGTAGTGTAGCGCGCGTAACCTACCGTCTTATTCGGAAGTGTATAAACACTAATGAGATTGCCAAAACGGCAGAAGATATCGCGTAGTACTGTTAGGGGTGGGGGTTGAGGCTTGCAAATCAAGAACAACCTTTTACCAACTAGAGCATCAATATCAGCTAAAGGCTGTCGAGGTGGCAACTTAGCACTACAGTAATTCAAGTCATTAGCATCTGGTATATTATTATCTGCTACCCCAGCAGTGGCCATTTTGATTATTTTTGAAGCCTCCGCAACAGCTTCAGCGAGTTTAGCCAAATCCGGAGTGTCTGAAGTTTTGGCTACATTAATAGCATTCTTCAGTTTATCAACAGCATTGGGAATGTTAAAAGATGTCTCTTCCCGATTATCAAAATTATGGTTGGCTGGCTTAACAAATATTCGTTGGCCTGGTGGGTATTCAAATTCATTCAATGTCTCAAGGGCATACTGTGCACATATCGGATTAGAATATTCAACATATCCTTTGCTGAAATTCCTAACAATATCAAACACAAATTTGAAGTAAATCATGCCAGGAATAATATTGAATAACCTAGATGCATGCATTTCCAAGAGATATGGACTGCACATGAAATGAAGCTTTGTAAAACCTCTTGGTCTAACATTCATCATAGTAACAATTGAGTTACAGGATGCTAGTGTATTGATGTTGCTTTCAAACGTAGTTTCCGGCTTTCTACTAAACTTTGGCGAGGCAAATATTGCTCTGTAACGTCTATCGCATTCTTCGAAAGCCCGAGCAGCTTCTGAGAATAATCTGAACTTAACATATGCAAAGCCCCTAGGGACACCAGTGTCTCTGTCCCGTTGTATTAGAACATCTTCTATATACCCATATTGCTTGAAATATTCAGAGAGATAATTTTCAGTCATATCCTTGGACACATTTATAAACAAACGCCTATATTTCTCAGCATCATTATCATCTTGATAATGACATCTGTTAGTGGCTACCAGGATTCTGAGTTTTCGTATTGAACCTTCTATCGATTGACCGTGTAATGCTTCTAGAGCGAAGGCAGCTTCGGATGTTTTTGCAAATTTAATGAACGCTATACCTTTAGGCTCACCGCTGTTATGATCAATTGGAATTCGGACTTCTTCAACGGTGCCAAATGGTTCAAAGGCCTTACGCAATTGGGGTTCTTTAATGTTGCGATCACAACACACAAATAATCGGGAATAAACGGGGTGATCTTCATTACCACGGTCATCCCTACGGTAATTACTCATTTTAGTAACAAAAATAACCTACAAACCTTAATACAAAAATAAAATGTGTTACACCTTGGTCGAAAATGTTATGTGTATGGATATGCGCTTAATTAATCCATTTGAAAATCTTAATAACGTATTGAATATCTAACGATAACATATTCAACCATGAAATTAAGACGATCGTAAACACAAGCCACCACAGGTTATATGGATACGACACCTGTACACAGCCATATAATGTATAAATCTGTGGAATAACTATATTTTCATTCAAATCAATATAGTAAAACATTTTCAAAGTCAATACTAGCCAGTTGTAACAGCAAAAATTATATAATAAGCATAAGAGATTTTTTGTTTAGAAAATACTAAGCAAGCTATGTTTCGAGTAAAACATAAAAAAAATATTCTGAAAAACCGTTTGAGTTCAAAATATTGCGAAAGAAAAAAATGGCAACCCAGCCATTATTTATGTCAAACAGAGAATCGGTTTCGATTTATTTTGTGCATTTTGTTACAAACTAAAATTTGTAAGTGATCATTGAAACTATAAATAGCGTTAATAATTCGTGTACTTAAAAGTGAAATCAGTATAAAACAGTGTGCATTACGCATTCGACCCGAAAACTAAAACCAAAACATTGTCAGCACTATGTCAGATGCATTCAAATGGTAAGCAGACGAGGGACCAAGTAGTCGTCCCCACTGCACTTTGATTTATTTTAAAACATCGGGCGAAGTAGTGCGGTACACTGCAGTATACGATATCAGTATCATGATTGAATGATAACCTAGTTTAAAACGTTCTAGTCTCAGACTTCCATTAGATTACGCCGCGAATTTTAATTTAGGACTTTTGTGAAAGACTCAAAATGTTCAGTGAATCCTATGAGCGAAGATTGCTGCAACAATGCAGTCCTCTAGCCAGAAAGCCGTCAGTGTTGGTCCGACCTGAGCCCATGGACAGATTTATACCCTGCAGGTTGGATAAGAACTGGGAGACAAGTTTTCAAGGTAAGTTTACTTGAGCTCTATTTACTAGCACTATGTGGTCTTGCATTAATGAATAGTATTTAACAATGAACTTCTGTAATTTAACTTTTTTATTTTAACCCTACTAGTTAACTATTATGCATAATTGGAGCCTTATCTTCATTAAATTGTAGAAAGTGGACAGAACATATGATGTTTCAGGTGTTCTTGTCTTTTTATTTAGAGATATAAGTCTGAGTAAATCTTTCTATGTCATTAATTTAGTCAAGTAGGTGGTTAGTTTCATAATAGTCTTAGTAAATAATATACCTAAGTGGTAAGATACGAAGATAGCAGAAAGAATAATGCAAGGTTAACAGATTTTAAAAATTGCATAAAGACAAAGTTCTCTTAGAGATTTGCTATATTCTAAATATTTTGTTAACAACCATTACCATTTATACTTACACTTGAAGTAAGGAAATATGTCTGCATGCTTGAGTGTTACATAAATTTTACAGCCATTAGAATTGTGTGAATGTAGTCTAGATAATTCTTCATTTCATTGGCAGATACTGTATACGCAATATATTGATGAACAGACATTGTTAGGGCTATGCGTAAACATTTTAATATAAATTAAAATTCTGTGAGCTAGACTTATATTCAAGAATTTTTTTAATGAAATGCTTATAATTTATAAGGATTTTATACTATTGGAAGTGATTCATTCAGTCGCTACCATATATTAAGTTGAATATTTGATAGTTTGTATGTTGGTACATACCATATTACAAAACTAATCTTAAATCCTTATTATATGATTAAAGAGGTCTTTTATTTTTTATAAGAATTATTAAACATAGGCTTAAGTCATTATGATTTCTGATGTTATGTTTCATTAGTTAATTACAGTAAATAGATTTATAGTTAACATATTTTTGTCTCAAGTAATGATTATTGTTAATTTAAGCAATAATATCATTTTGGTTCATGGAGAATTAAAAAAAAAAAGTAAATGTGTTATTAATACTTGTTTATTTTTAGTAGTAAGTAGTGGTAGGGTTTTCTTTAACAAAGCTATAGGTAGGTTTAAATGTATGAATATTTTTTATAAAGAATACAGTTGAATCCGTTTATAATGACATCGAAAGGAACTGACAAACACGTCATAATAAGTGAACGTCATACAACGCAATGTAAAAAATAATAATTTTTATGTATATATGTATGTATTTTAATAGAGGAACATAGTAAATTCATATGTAAACATACATATTAAATGAAAACAAAAATTGCACGTAATAAGTGAATTATACCCATACAAATGTATTTTTTAATGTAAGTAATCTATAATTTTTGTTGGCTTTTGTTTTTTAATTTTATTGTAAAAACAGTCTCTGATATTATTGTGTATAGAAGCCATCGTTATGGTCAAATTATCATTTTTAATATTGCTATGAACAAATCGTGATAATAATTCTGCAACTTTTAATGCCTCTTCTACGGTAGGTAATCGTTCTTCCTCGACTTTTTCGAACCGAACGTCGTCGGGAATCAACGAGCATTACCGAGTACCCGGAGATATAATATAATCATGTCGGTCATTATAATCGGACAAAATTTATTGAAAATGGGTCATAATAAACGACATTGTAAGGGAAGTCATTATATCCGACTTTTTTTATAAAGATTTTATATGAAAACCAAACTTCGTAGCGTAATGGCGACATAATAAACGGATTCAACTGTATATCAAATTTACTCAATACCTTTCTATATTTAAAATACACATCATATCAATATAGGGAGGTAGGAATACACATATTAATTTTGCCTATGAAACAACAATCTTGCCATTTATTATTTATCAAAAATCATAATTACTAAAAATTGCTAGACAGTTAACTGGCAACCCAAAAAAACAATTGCGCATTGTCTTTCTATTGCACGTTCAGCTCAAATAACGACAATGATTCGGCTAAATCTCGGAATAGTAATAATAGGTTGGCTAATGGAAAACTCATTTTTTTGCACCCGAACGGCTTCTGTAATTGAACTTGGTACTCTCGAGAGGTTTTTATACTCTGTACCGAATGCGTCGATTTTTATCTGACGCGTGCGATCGATCGAGCGGATACGCAGAATTTTCAAAGATAATTTATAATTTTGACTTTTTTTAATATACCTACATTTAGCATATACCGAGAACTTGGCGCATTTAAAAATTAATAGTCCAATATTTTTCTGTGTATTGCCAATAAAATTACGTAATACTAATATAATATACCTAACACTAAATGCTCCTCGGCTTGGCAGCATTTTATCCAGGGTTTAAAAAAAATATGCTAAGTTTTTTAATCTACCTTTTGGGATTACAACAAAATGATTAGTTAGTAAACAATTACGTTAATCAAATAAGATGATTTATCATAAGATTTTTTTAAATAATAAGGGCTTCCTTCCTTATCTTATGTTGAATAGTACCTGTCTGGTCCAAACTTAGGTCCTGTCTCGCTATACACAAAGAATATTACCACTCGGCCACGGAGGCTGTGTTTAAGGGCATGCGCTTGTAAGTTATAAATAGAAAGCTACACTGTGTTATGATAATGAGGTATAATTAGACAATCATAATTACAAGACGATTAACTCGAGATAAGAACGCGAGGCACGTAAAGTAAGGTAGCAATGTTAATAGGCGGCTTCGGTGTTTTAAGTAAGGAAGGCCTGAATTACGAATAACCGAAGTTCGAAAGCTTAAGTCGGGCTTCGGTTTTCGGCTTAAATTCTGTACAATTATATATACATCAAATCAATTAAATTATCACTAAACTTAGTATTTTTAACTGGTATTAAATAAAAGTAGTGTGGTGCAATAGTTAAGAACTCGATAAGTAATTTAAATTTTAAACTATCATTAACTCATTTCTAAAGCTAAGAAGCAACCTAGTTACAAGTGGTATAGTCATTATGTTTTGCGTTACGGATTCATTATAACTGTTAGCGAATGAACTTTTTAATAAATCTTCGGTTTCGGTTGATACCGAATACACCTCTAGCTCAAAACATTCATTATTACGTTATTTAACATGTGAACGACCGCCGAGGCGCAGTAATTGTCATCGCTCGAATTTCGAAAAGTCACAGATTCGTTCTCGGTACAATTCTTTTTAAATACTGTATAACTGGACTCGAATGCCTTTGACTGTTGTATGTGGCGACGTTACCATCTACCCATTTAAACATACCGCAATAATGCATATTTGCTTAACTTGAATATGAAAGGCGCTACACGTTACATCGTCAGCACAGCATCCCCATCCAAATGTAATCAGCATCAATCGTTGCTTTACTTTTGTTTATAAAGCAGTCCTTATTATATATCTTTATAATTAGTTTAAAAACATAGAAAGGAAGGATTTTAAACTTAAATTTGTTTTATATTACTTCTATCCAAGAAAATATCTTCCAATATCACACTGCACCAATAGTTGCTTATATAGTAGTATATATCTGTGCTTAGATTTAGCTATAGCAAAATTAAATTGTTCACATAAATCAGAACTTACCCACACAAAACAATAACTCATTTGCAATTCAATGATAAAAACCTATGTTACGCTTGGCTACCTAAGAATAAATAATTTGACCTTTATCTCACAGATAATAAGATCGTAGGTGCTTTTTGGAAAGTTAGTCATACGAGTTCGTTGCTTTGATGAGTGATGGGTAATTAATATGCCATGTTGTTTGTGGAAAATAACAATGGGCAGTAAAATTTCGTGTTGCCATGGTTTTATTGGCTACATTAAACAGCTTAGCTTCTAAATTGACATCATATATAGTAGTAATTATTACTTAGGTCTTTCGGTTAGTTCTGGGCTCAATCCCGAAAAACCAATAAAAAAGTGTCGGTCAGACAGGGCACAGAGTCAAGAGAGCTGATCAACTATTTTTCTGTCGGTGACATTTTGATTTTTGATATTGTTTACGATATATGGTAAGTATGACATTGATATTTTGAATGATTAATATTTTAATTTAAGAAAAATACGCAGGTATATATTATCAATTTTGAGTTTTATTGATAGAGAGTCAGATTCATATGATAGGAAGTACAGATTGGAACCCCACTGTAAACAATACAGCTCCGTTCCTCTTCAGTAATGTACATGGGATTCCAACCATCAAACATTACTACTTATCACTACTGCACTACATTTGATTTAATTAGAAGTTTCCCAGCGTATTTAACTACTTATTTATATAAAACATTATGGTAATTAAACCAATCTAGCCGTGATATACGGCGGTAGTTTCGATTCGCCCTCATTAAAACCGCTATCGTGCAATATGATATGGCATTTATAGAAATCAGCCATCCATGCAGCGTGAAGTTCTATCGCCCTTTAACTCTGGTTGAAGAATAATTCTGTAGTCATCGGACCACGGCCCAATATATTTCCCAGGTATCACCTCGTTGTGGAGATTCTAATGAGATTAATTGGTTTTATGGTGGGCTGTATTTACATAATTAAATTGTCTTAAAAAGTCGTCGAAAACGATTACCTATGTAAATTTTTGAGGGTAGTTCGAAAAAAGTGTGCACTTAAAATAACTACGGTTCAGGGAACGTAATTCTTAAGTCAATTTCAGCCATATATCTTAAATTAGCATAACCTAGATTTTTAACGATTTTATTTAAATAAAAAACTTTAAGGGTTTAAAACGTCGGACCGTAGTTAAACAATAATTTTCAAACAATTTTAACTAAAATATATCGCGTTTTAAACCGTTAAAGAGTTTTATTTAAATATATGAAATGCTTGTGAACAAAATTAAAATCCTTTTCATACAACAAAGCTGTAAGAAACTCTCTTATGTTATGTTAAAGACACCTAAGTATGTGGTTTACATATCAAGAATTGAAATTCAACTCTGCACTCCCTTTAAATCTTGTTAATTTATTTATAAGAGCACGTTTACAAACCCATACATTCGTCGTATTAGAGCTTAAAGTGGAAAATGTATGTAGAAGC